ACGGACATTAAATGCATACGGCATACCAGTTGCCAGACCACCAGCATTGTCCGAAAAAACTCTTGATATATCAGTTACACCAGTGGCAACACCCCTCCTAACTGAATTTAAAACAGCTGGTTCATTATAATTGTTTTCAATCGATGTGCTGAACTCTGCTTGTTGTTTAAATGGTATTTCAACCGGAACATCTTCAATTAGAACCACCACTAAAAATACATTATTATTTTCAATTTTAGATTGTGGAATATTACCGAATAAAGCAGCTGAAATGTTTTGGACAGATACAATATTTTCTAAATCGATACTTACTGTAAATGGCTCTGTTAGGACTTCATCTCTAGTTCTAAGATACATTAATGCAGATAAATTGTTAAATTTTGGGTCTACGATATCGGGATGACTTGTAACATCTTTAAAATCAACCAATATATTAGAAGGAGAATATTCAAATATTTTCTGGCTATCTTTTGGCTCGTTATCCAGTAACTCGGAATTCATAGCAGGAAAATCATTCATAAAACTTGATAACAGCGAATTTGTTACAAACATTTTAAGTTTCGAGTCTTTGATCGAACATAACTCGCCTGTATCTATATCACGAGAGAATATACCTTCGTAACCACTAGGGTCAGTGTAAACTGATTTTGATTTTGAAGGAGACCCATCTGATTTTGTAGATTTATCTCTTGAAGAGATGAACTTAGAAAGCTTAGGCAAAAACGATGCTGCTGATCTAGTGATTCGTATTTTTTCTCTTTCTGTAGTTAGATGGAAACGTAACCTCAATCTAATCCTATCAAGCTCTTGGTATAATTGGATTAATTTATAATATATCATATACTCATTTGCTGAAAACATAGTGTAAATATGTGACGAAAGAGTTGAGAGTAGTGGGCCCAATTCATCAACAAAGGGTCTTTCTTGGTATCTAAAATATGGAAATGGTGGTTTTGAAGTTTTTCGTAGTGAGAATGAGAAAACTGAGATATCACAATAGGTTCTATCGTTTGAAGAAGAAGCTATTTCTAATAATGAGGGAGATTTACATGATACTTTTTTACACCTTTCGTCGAAATACTCCTTTCCAGGAACTTTCAAGGTATCGATCGTTGTAACCTTTCTGTCAGGGAATGTTTTGGCAAACTTCTTTGGGAAGATGACTTCTTTTGACTTTACATCTGGTAATTTATCACCCAAGGAAGCTGACAGAGATATATATTCTTCAGGAAGAGGGTTCCAACATTGGTAACCCCTGCACCATTTACCATCAGTAGTTTCTTCAAAAATATAGATTTCATCACCAGGATAAAGGTTTGCATAGTAGGAACTATGATAGATAAGTTCTGGATGTCTTTTCAAGGGCAAATACGGTTTAATGAGTACCCCGTATATAAATGAACCAGTTGGTTTCCATTGGAAATTACTGTCTTGTTTATCAGAAGAATATTGCATTGATCCGTAGTTAGGTTAAAGTTGGTCAACACCTTTATTTTTATTTCTGCAATCTCTAATTCACTCTAGTCAGACTAAATTTTTGGACGAGGTTAGCAAACAAACAGTATATATCAATTAATATAAAGCTCTGTTTAAGGTTTCTTGTAATATAGGTTTCTGTATATATCTTTAATTTAATTTATTTTTAATTTATTTTAATTGTAATTCGAATATTTTTTTTTTTTATTTTGCCAGAGAAGTTAGTAGTCTACCGTTAAAAAGCGAAAAGTGTCGAAAATTCCAATACTAGGTATATCCTTACGCTGCGTTTGTATTGAGGGAAAAAACAAACTACAAGCCTTCGTAAAAACTGAAATTCTACAGATCTTCTCTCACAAGAATAGTTAGTTGTTATATGTTCAGTTTGTGTATAAAGAAGAGAGAATTGATGGAAGTGAAGATAGAGATTATGTATTTAATATTAATTTTGTTATAGTTTATTAATTTGTTTCCTAATGAAATGCAATTGAACAACAATCAAATAAAAAGCCAAAAAAACCAAAAAAAAAAAATGTCATCAACTAACTCGAGGAAAAGATACCGACGAGAGAACATGAACCAGATACTTTCCTTTCATTACCTCTTGAAAAAAGACAGAGTACAAGATTTGCTGTAACCTTGGTCCAATTTCTGTCTCTCTATTCTATTAGGAGGTACAATCAAATTTTGGCAGTCCTCTATCCAATCCAATCCAATCCAATCCAATCCTATGCTAAATCACTGGAATTGGGTTGAACTGGATTGAACTGAACGATTAGATGGGATGGGATGAGATGAGATGAGATGAGATGAGATGAGATGAGATGAGATGAGATTCAACCATGAAAAATTCAATAAAATAAAATTTTGTTTTACCCTGTTACTAGGAAAGAATATGTGCCTTCTTGAGAAAATTCATTTTATTCGTACAATAAGTGGAACCTGACCTGTTTAGCTATTCGTTCCCGCGAAACTTTCCCTTTTTGTCATAGGAAACCGACAGACAGACAGACAGACAGACAGACAGACAGTACCGTTTCTGTAAAGAGAAACACACACACAAAATGAAAATGAAAAAAATTTCTTCCTTTCTTGTGGTTATAATTGGTTGTATCAAAGTGTTTGTTCTAATGAGAGCCTACTCTTCTTGTGCTGGTGAAAGAAAAAAAAGTATTGGATCTATTAAAACAGAGAAGCAATTACAGATGCGTCTATCTATTTCTCCCGTTGTTCTGTATGGAACAGGAATAATTCAAAATCTTGGTGTCATTTATCATCGTAACATTTGTTAGTGGGACTGCAAAATTAGACAAATTATTAGGTTTTCATAGATGGTTCTACCCTATCGCAGTATTTGGATTTGTAGTAGCTGTTGCTTCATTGGGATGGTTTCATCAAACCCTATTTCAGTTCGAGGAATATCTAGTTTAAAAATTAACTGATAAAATTAAAAATTAAACTTGAAACTGGAAACTGGAAAAAAAAGAACAAGAACAAGAACAAGAACAAGAAGAAGGCAGATACCCTTTCGTTTAGTCTAATGCTGAGGAAAAGAAAGGGTCGGGTCATTGAATGATAACCCAGAATGGAAGCTTAAAAAGTTTGTTTTCCCTTACTCTTGTTCTAATGAGCGAATTAGTTTTCTTAGTTGGTAAAATCACTTATTGTATGAATGTAAGAGAAACTAACACCATCTAATTCTGTGTTGCTGTTGTTGTTGTTGTTGTTGTTGTTGTTTTTTGCACAATTGGATAAAAAATTAATAAACATCAAGACAATATGCGTATGTATTCCTATGTTCCGAATGTTTCTTGTCATTATTCTTGCAAGTAATTAGTAATAGTTCCATATAATTGTATCAATAGTAAGCAAGCATTCGATGCACACATCTGCGTGCATCGATCCATCTGGTCTGAAACAAAAATTCTTTAGGCAATGTTTATGTGTTGTTGTTGTTGTCCTTTGGGTAATTTAATCTTTATATAGGAAAATATCACCCTATTGTCCCCTGCTGGTATATATTGGATGGAATTATTTAGCTCAAGTCTTGTCCTTTCTCTTTTATCACAATACATACAGATAAGAAGACGCTTTTTCCAATACGATCACATTTATGTGTTGTTGTTTTTTTCCCAGTTTATCCTTCTTTTCATTTACTCTTATTCTCAAGTCATGCGTCAGAAACGTTTATATAGGTCTCTCTGTCTGTAGCAATGACAATTCTCTTTATGCAGATCGTCATCAATAAAATTATATAGCTCATATACATAGATACAAGACAAGCTCTACAGAAATCCAAAAAAAACAAAAAAAACATGAAACGACTCAGTGGTACTTGATATTACCTTATTTATTCATACAAAACAACTAACTACATGGAAAATTAAATGTATTAGCCGCCGATGGCAGCATCATCAACCTTAATTGCTGTGCGAAATCTCTTTATTTCTTATTTCTTCTTTTGTTTTGTTTTGTTTTGCCTAAAATGGTTCGCTGCTCCTCAAATGTACCCGCACCAAAAAAACCTGTAAAAAGAAAAGAGATATTGATTACCCATTTTTTTCGTCAACTTCATGACATCACGTGACAGTGTATCTAACTCGAATTTAGACTTTTCCCAAATATCAAGAAATCTATCAACTTTAAAAAGTTAAACGGTGGCAAACTAGGTTAGAGTTAAGTGACTAGATAAGGTCATCTGAAGTAGCTAGTTGTTATTTCTGAGCTTTCAAATAGGTTAACTTATAGCTTAAGTTATATTGAGTGTTGCTGCTGGGTTTTTTGTCGTAGAAATTCTGTGCTGATAAATTTTTTGGGGGGATACTTTACAATCTGCAGCTCTGTCAAGAAAAATTATAGTGTCAGGGGAATTCAAACAAGTTTATTTTAATCAGGGATATTATTCGTTGGAGGAAATCTGAATATATATATATATATAAAAAAGAACAATAATAAAATAATATTGAAAAGATGTCAACAACCGCGGTATCAATTAATAACACTATCAGGCTTAGAGCTGGTATTGCCGATTTTAATGAAGAAACCAAACTTTGTACACCATTGCCAGTTCAAGGTGAGATTACTATTAAACCAAATGAAGAAGAAGAAGAATTGGGCTTTTATGATTTCGAATGGAAACCAATTGAAAAACCTAGTGATCCGGCCATCGAAGCAATTAATTTGATTTTGGTGCCAGGTGAAACTTTATGCATTCAAATTGATTCTTGTAAAAGTGGTAGAGTTTTTTCATTAGTTTTTTCATCAAATCAAACATATTTCTTCTGGTTACAAGAAAAGAACCCATTAGGTTTGAAAATTAATGAATTCAGTGAAAAGGATAAGGCTAATTTAGATAAAATAAGAGCGATTTTAAATTCAAATGATGAAGACGAAGATGAAGAGGATGACGACGATGAAGAAGAAGATGATGATGATGCTATAGTGGATGAAAAAGCAGACGTTGAAATGAATTGATTTGCATACTGAACCCCTCATCAACAATATTCCGCTTCACTTATTATTATTTCTTTTCAACTGGTAATGCTTCTCCATTATCAACATAAGTTGACTTTAAAATGGGAAAACAGCAATAAGAAGGAATTAAGGTTTTTCAATATTACTATGCATATGAAAGAAAGCAACCATGGATAGCATTATCATTATTTGTGCTACTCCTTCATTTTATTCAATGTCTGTTCTTTTCAAATCTTAATCATTCTTGTCGTTGTCCACATTTCAGTAATGACAAAGAATTCAAAAATAGATGGGCCATTGTGTACATTATATAAATTTGTGTATATACTAATTATTTGAAATCAGATAGGTTAGTACGAAATATTACATCTTCTCCATTGTCTCTATACTTCATTATCATCATTGATCCTTTTAATATAGATAAAATGATTTTTTCAGAAAAATCTCTAAATCATAATTAATATAAAAAAAATTCAAGCGTTGATAGTGTCAAGATAAAAGCTCATCGCAAATGTCTAAGATATAATAAAAAGTACTTGTGAACTAAACAAAGATCATCCAATACTTTCAACTTTACTCTGAGAGGAGATAAATATATCTAGATCATTGATGTCTGCTGAACTTGAAACAACCGAGCCACTAGTTGCTCCATCTTTATCAACTGCTCAAAATGAAGAAACGTTTGCTTTCCAGAAATATGCTGGTAGTGAACACGATAGGTCCTCATATTTAGGACCAGAATATTTAAACTTCGATTTGAATGAATTAGTTGGTAAGTATTACTCTGTTGACAAATTGGTCAGCTATTTCGAACAAAATCCAAAGTATACCAAAATTACATTGCAATTTCCTGATTCGTTGGTACAAGACTCTAGTATTGTAACAAAGTTGCTTCAACAAAGGTTAGATAACTCTGTTATAGTTGATACAACTGTTAATCAAGAATTAAATTCAGAATCTGGTGACCATAATGATAAAATGACTATTAGAAAATTTTGGGTATTGGCAGATACTGCATACAGTTCTTGTTGTGTTGATGAAGTTGCCTCAGAACATGTTAATTCTCAAATTGTAGTTCATTTTGGTGATTCCTGCTTGAATAGTATCCAAAAGCTTCCGGTGGTGTATTCTTTTGGTAATCCTTACTTCGAACTCGAAAAAGTTGTTGATAACTTTTTGGAAACTTATCCAGATACAAATGAAAAAATATGTATTATGGCAGATACCCCTCATACTCAACATATCATGGAACTATATAATGTCTTGAAGACTAAACATTATAAAAATTTATTAGTTGCAGGTATAAATTCCGATTTGGCTAATGAAAATGTGACACTTCTAGATCAAAGCCCAAGCGAAGTTTCTTTAAAGAAAGTATTAACATTGGGTAACAGAGTGCTACTGGCAGATGATGAATCTATTGCATTTGAAGATTCTTCTGAGTTACAACAGGACTATCATTTATTCCATATCACGATGCCTCAGGATCCCCGCTTACTATATCTATCGACTATATTCCAATCTATGTCAATTTGTGATCCTCAGGATGGATCCGTTTCACAAGGACCATTCCCTTCACTAATGAAACGTTATAAATACATGCATGTGGCAAGAACTGCCGGTTGTATTGGTATTTTAGTAAATACTTTGTCTTTGAGAAATACCAACGAGACAATTAACAAAATATCTCAATTAATCAAAAATAATGGTAAGAAACACTACTTATTTGTAGTAGGAAAACCTAACGTTGCCAAATTAGCAAATTTTGAACCAGTTGATATTTGGTGTGTTTTAGGTTGTGGTCAAAGTGGTATTATTATTGATCAGTATAATGAGTTCTATAAGCCAATTATCACACCTTATGAACTGACGATGGCTTTATCGCCAGAAGTCACCTGGACAGGTAAATGGATTGTAGATTTCAAAGAAGCTTTAAAAGATGTTGAGGATGAGTTGGAGGAATCTGAAGTAAATGTACATTCGGGAGATAACCAAGCAGCTGAAGGTGAAAGTAATGCGCCAGAGTTTGACGCTGTTACTGGTAGATATGTCAGCAATTCTAGACCACTAAGAGATGTTACACACTTGGAAATTGAAAGTCCATCCGATAAGCAGGAGAACTCTAGATCTGGTTCAAATGAACTAGTTAAAAAATTCGCCGGTAGTATTATCATCAAGGGAACTGTTTCAACTTCAGCTTCACATTTACAGAATCGTCAATGGACAGGTTTAGGTAGTGATTTTAAGAATAATGAGGATCATGATGAGGACGGTGCCATTATTGAAGAAGGTATCTCTGGTGTGGCCCGTGGTTATCAATTTGATAGAGATAACTCAAAAAAGAATTAAGATTGACATTATGATGTAGCAGTAAAAAAAATAAGCATTTCATTCGATTATTCAAGTATATAATAGAAACATATAAACAATATTTGAAGAATATACCATCTTCATTTCATTTCAAACAAAATTTAATTTTTCTTTTAAATACTGAAGTTAACAAATAGAAGATTGTAGTATTGATGGGAAATGGAGGTTTCTTCTCTATATATTCTTGGTAATTTGGATAGTCTCAAGTAAACACAGAATTTAATTAATTATATTGACATTATAATGTCATTATAATCAAAAAAAACATCATTTAATAACAAGTGTAATCTGATGGGCATATATGACTCTAGGTTTGTTGATGATGGCATCCGTACACCTCAGGTATAATTCATTATAACAGGAAAGTTTAAAAGCTTAAAGATTAAGAATTCGAAATATTATATTCACAACTAATGTAGATTGTATAAGACAATGAGTGTTAAGGATTGATTTACTGATATAAATGATCTGTTTGTGGTTCTATATTATTAATTGATATTGTATTATAGTTCTATATTTATAAAATCAAGTCAATATTAACAATGGGTGCTGCATCATCAAAACTTATAGACAGCTTACTGGAGGATACCAATTGTATGTAATTGAAAGTATTTTTTTCTTCGTAGAAGATAGTGGATTTATTCAATAGATAGGAGATACTAACTGGTTTAAATGATTATCATTGTTTGTATTTAGTTGATCGAGATGAGATTGAAAGGTTAAGAAAAAGATTTATGAAACTAGATAGCGATAGCTCAGGTAGTATTGATAAAAATGAATTTATGAGTATTCCAGGTGTTTCATCAAACCCTTTAGCTGGAAGAATTATGGAGGTATTTGATGCGGATAATAGTGGAGATGTTGATTTTCAAGAATTTATCACTGGTCTATCTATTTTTAGTGGTAGGGGTAGTAAGGATGAAAAATTAAAGTTTGCCTTTAAAATATATGATATCGACAAAGATGGTTATATATCTAATGGTGAATTGTTTATTGTGTTGAAAATTATGGTTGGTAATAATTTGGATGATGCCCAATTGCAACAGGTTGTTGATAGAGCAATAATAGAAAATGATGTAGATGGAGACGGTCGCTTAAGTTTTGAAGAATTTAAGAATGCTATTGAAACTACAGAGGTAGCAAAAAGTTTAACTTTACAGTATAATGTTTAACTTGGCGTTGTTTTATCGATTTGAGATTGCTAAAACGACCTAACTGATAATCGTACAGCAGACATTGTACAAAGTGGTATTTTTATATCATTGTAAGGATATTTAAGGAAAAGATTTTAAGTAGGGTTCTTTTTTTATATAAAAATTCATGTATAGTAATTTAACTCATGATAACTGTATCTATACAAAAGCAACTAATATGTCGTAAGCTATGGCGATGAATGTGGATTACGTGATATATAGGTATATTTATTTGAAAAAATATTTTCTTGCATTAAATATCGATATTAGAATTTGCTTTATTATATTTTGATTACTTTCAATAAATAATTGATTAATTTAATTGTTTGACGAAACTAATACTGATCTTTTCAAGAAAAGAAAACTTTCTAGCTATATTGATCTCGTTTGGGAGACGAATTTAGGGTGTTAGTTTGAATTGAATTTCAGGATGCGAAGTCAACTTTATTACATATTCGATTATTTCGAAGTAATTATATAAAGTAGATATAACTAATATTTAGGGACCTAATCAATATGAATAAATGGACTTGGTGATTGGAATACTGTAATATTTCATTAAAAAGAACAGCTCAATTATATGTATGCGACAGCGATATATATAAGTTTAATTGTGTCTTCCCCGACAGCAAACCATTTTCAGTCATATTGTACATATCAGCCAACCTTAAATTTGTGATTAATAACATATTTGCTATCAAGGAAGAATTTTTGATGCTTTGATTTCTATATAAATTGTTGATAAAATTTTGGTTTTTGATAGAGAAATTAGCTTAGCTTTTGGGTGATTTATGTTGAAAGCAGTTTTTAACAACCACAAATAAAATGGTCCCTTGGCCCAGTTGGTTAAGGCGTGGTGCTAATAACGCCAAGATCAGCGGTTCGATCCCGCTAGGGACCATTTCTTTTTACCGTTTTTAAACTGACAAGAGTTTTTCTAAAAAACCAAGTTAAGTTAGTGTGTTCTTATTTTTAAGTTAATCCCATCATGAATCATTAACATAATTTGATCAATCGATTAACTCTCTAAATAGAACTTGTTTTGCATTTATATTACATCTACTAGGAAGTATTGTGTTAATCATTTGTTGAGATAAGAAACTAGTCAAATTTAAAATTATTTACAGTGTGAATATTCAGGATGGAAACAAGTAATAATGGTGTAAGAGTGAATTCAATTTCGAATGATAATTCGGAAAATCGACAACTATTAAAAGAAACTAGATTGTTAAGAGACACATTAGATTTATTATGGAACAAAACATTGGAACAAAAACAAGTATGTGAACAATTGGAGCAAGAAAATGAATATTTACAAGATTATATCAATAACTTAATGGCTTCAAGTAATGTTTTAGACAAATAAATTCTAAATTTTATTGTAGTTACAAAGCAACTTCAACTGATATTAGAGTAGTGTATACAAAAGTTTTGCCAATTGGCAACAATTAATGTGGCTTTTTGGAAGCTCATCAATATGGTGTGTTGGAATCTTTCTCTATCGTACTGTTTGTTGGTTTGAAAGGAAAAAATTGAAACTAGAATAAATAGTGGAAATAAAAAGGATTACTATTCAAGCAGTTGGTAAACTTCAAAACCTTGTTTATATTTCTAATTAGGATGGAGTTTTTTTATCGCAAAGGATACATCGCTAGAAAGTGTTCGATGACTACGTTTTTACCGACTATACTGATCCTTAGTCTTCAACCTTTCCAAAGATAACTAAATTAGTTAAATACGTTTGAATTTCTTTGAAGTAAATAGAATACATAAATGCAAGTGAATTTTCATTGGATTCAGTTAATTAAGTAAAATATTCTTTACAGTTAATCAACAAAATATTCAGCTTTTGGACAGCCTTTATTTCGCTAATACACGGCATTTAATAAAGTAGATATAAAAAATTATATCTACTTATATAATTTAATAAATAGGGAGTATTGATGGATTAAAAAGTGTTATAAAAGGTTAGTGACAAGGGTAAGATGGGTGCTATAATATCGTTACCAGTCAGTTTTGTAGGGACATTCGTGGCTTCAACTTTAGGTGGTTGTTGTTCCAATATTTTTTCAAAATCAGTTAGTTCTATTGCTTCCTCATCATTGGGAACAAGACTTCTCTATGCAATATGGTTATTATTCAATTCGTTGATATCTTGGATATCAATGTCTGGAAATAAGTCCTTTTTATGGCCTGGGAGGACCTGTACAGATACTGGTGAATGTGGTTATTTTACAGTCCATAGGTTAAATTTTGCCCTAAGTTTAATGCATATAATGCTAGCATTTATTTTAATGAATGTGAAATCTACGAAGGATCCAAGAGCAGCGTTACAGAATTCATGGTGGTCTTTGAAGTTTATTGTGTATATATTATTAATTACATTCTCATTTTGGCTACCAAATGGTTTCTTTATATTCTTCTCTAAATGGGTTTCTGTACCAGCAGGCTCAATATTCATATTAGTTGGTTTAATCTTGCTAGTTGATTTCGCACACCAATGGGCAGAAACCTGTATATACCATGTCGAAATGGAGGATGAGAATTCAATGTTTTGGCAGAAATTTTTAGTCGCAGGTACTGCACTAATGTACACTGCATCATTAGCAATGACAGTTGTTATGTATATATTATTCTGTCATCAAGATTGTAATATGAATCAATCTGCAGTGACAATAAACCTTTTGTTAGCACTCCTAGCAACTGGTGTTTCCATTCATCCAAAAATTCAAGAAATTAATCCAAAATCTGGTTTAGCACAAGCCAGTATGGTATCTGTTTATTGTTCATATTTGACAATGAGTGCAATGGCATCTGAGCCTGATGATAAAATGTGTAATCCATTGGTTAGATCCAGCGGAACACGTAATGCAAGTATTGTTTTAGGGGCATTATTCACTTTTATTGCCATTGCCTATACTACAACAAGAGCAGCCGTCAATGAAGGGTTGTATGGTAGTTCTCCAGATGGTGAAATTCACTTAAGTGATGAACTGGAATATGAAGGACTTGGAGGTCAAACAAGAAGTCAGCTACGTTATGAGGCTATTAAACAGGCTGTAGAAGAAGGGTCACTCCCGGAAAGTGCATTATATGATGTCAGTTGGATGGAGATGCCAGGAAGAAATAATTCGAGTAATGGTGAGACAAATGCAAATGATGATGAATTCCGTAGCACTATTTACAATTATTCTCTTTTCCATTTCATTTTCTTCCTAGCATGTCAATGGATAGCAATTTTATTGACCATAAATATCACACAAGATGACGTCGGAAACTTTATGCCTGTTGGTAGAACTTATTTCTATTCATGGGTTAAAATAATAAGTGCATGGATATGTTATGGATTGTATATATGGACAGTAGTGGCACCTGTGATGATGCCTGATAGATTTGACATAGACGAGGTTTATTAAAAACAGTAAATAATTACATACACAATTTAAAAGGATATTCAAACTGGTTACAATGATTAAAACCTATCTAATTTTATTTATAGCCAAGGCATATGGTAATTGGATATTCATAAAAAACTTTGATTAAATGTTTTTCAATTAACTTTATATTCTTAATTTTTTTTTATTTTTTTAACTTGCTGGTTAATAAAGAGCCCTTAGAATTACTCTGAAGAATCTGTAATACCATTTTCACCAATTATATAAGTACATTCTTTTTCAGGCATATCAGGTGAATCTTGAAGTTTGGCTACTCTTTCATCACCTCTACCTTTTCTTAATAGTATTCTAGTTGCCGAAGCATGGGCCAAAACATGGCCGCCAACAGGTTTTCTACCATCTGCAGATGCAAACAATGCGGAAGCCCCTGGGTCAGATTGAACCTGGTTAGTCATAAAAACTGCAACGTTAAATTCTTCTGCTACTCTATTTAATTTAAACAAATGTTGGTTCAATTTTTGCTGACGTTCATTTAATTCACCTCTGCCACAGTAGTCTACTCTAAAGTTAGCCATTATTGAGTCCATTACGATTAAACGGTATTCACCCGAACTCAAATCTTCGCCTAACTTTTCTACAAGTTCCATTTGATGTTCGCTATTTAAGGCTCTTGCATAAGAAACATTTTCCAAGCAGGCATCTGGATCTAAATTGTATCTTTCAGCGATTTGTTTTATTCTCTCTGGACGGAAGGTACCTTCGGTATCTATATAAGCTACTTTCCCTTCACCCCCGCCCATTTCCCTAGGCAATTGTGTCGTTACACATAGTGTATGAGCCATCTGAGTTTTACCACAACGAAACTCCCCAAATACTTCAGTGATACTCATTGTCATTATACCACCACCAAGGATACTATCAAGTTGTTTGGAACCGGTAGATAAACTGAGAACTCTTTGTCTAATATTCAACTGAATAGTAGCAGGAATAAAACCTACTTGGATAATTTTACCAGCAGCTTCTTTAATTTTTTCAACCTTAATATCACTTAAACCCTTTATCTTAGAAAGATTCCTCTTAGTTACAGAAAGAACGGTCTATAATCAACAGTTGTGTTAACAAAATAAAGTTGTTAGTATCTCAAACCGGAAGTGAGAATAAAGAATAATAATAACATAAAAAATAAAACATACATTAACAGTAAATATACCACCAGCTTTCAATTTCTGAAGGTCAGAAACGTTGATACCATAATTTTGCAATTCATCTACATTGATGATATTGACTTGAGAGTCTGTTTCAACATCTGTTTCAACAGCTGTCATCTTATTTTGTTATATAATTAAATGTGTATTACTAGTTGTTTTGTTACTTTGTATTACGATAGAAATGTCATCTTCCAGTGAAAAGTAGTTCTTTTTTATATTTGTATTTCCCTTGCCGCTTTTATACTTTTTCATAAAAGCTTGAGATTGGGGACGTCTGAGCGGCTACATCCAAAAAATTATATATATATATATATATATATATAAAGACTTCTGTAATGGTCTATCCTTTCAAGAATAAGTTACTATAAAGAGAAAACATTTTCAAAACAAGGTTATTGGATATATGAATAAACAGTATGGATATAATGAAACCGAATTTAGTATAGTATATTTGGACGTATTTTCCATTTCAAAAGGTAAAATAGAGTTCTCCAGAAAAAAACCTATTTTAGTACAATTTCTAGATCCTTATAAGTTTTAGTTTCTATTATAATGCATTAGCTTCTAAGAATGTCAATTGCGTTTTTATCCAGTAATTTAATTTATTGAGAAACAGGTGACAGTAATTTCATTTCATACTGGTTTAACGAAATTCAGGAAAATTGATAACAAGAGTATTAAGAGGGAACATTCAATAACTTCCTAATACTTTTAAATTCCCTTAATTTACTTTACTTTTGGTGATTCAATTAGGCCTGATTGGTTTTGATGAAATATACTGTCGTTCAAATTATATTAGATTTTGTACTGATTATAAAGGTCTTGAATGAACTCTGATATTAAACACAAAAATATTTTAACAATAGTGTCCAATAAATGAAATTGATTGGTATTTCAACACATGCTATACAATAGATGACCAGAATTCAAAACTTGAAGTCTCTAAACTGGCTAATTTTTTTTGTTTAGGTTCATAAAAGGTCCATTTAACGGTTCCAATGACTATTTCTAGGCTACAACTGTTAAAAATAATTAATGATTATTCGGAATATGTCAATAAGATACAGGTAACAAATAGTGATGATAAAAACATCATCTGTATTCCAAGAACTTCCTTTACGGCAAGTAGGTTGATGTTTATGTCATTTGAAGATTTAGCAGAAAGTTCTAAAACAATATTGTTAGGTGGAATCCCAGACCAAATTTTAAGTCAAAAGAAAGAATCTATACTAAGATCTTATTTAAATTGTAATTCCCAAAATAAACCATTTAAAAGAATTGATCCTATACAACATATTGAAGAAATTCAAACCGCTGTTGAGCCTCCTTATCAAAGGAATAAAATTTACAAGGTTGCAAATTCCTTCTCAAATACTTTGAGCAGACAAAAAAAACCCTCAGATATTGCTGAAAATACTATAATATCTCATACCATTAAAATACATACACTCAATATTATATGTAATCATCAAGGTCAAGAAATCTTCACTCCGATCATTTCTCGTCAATATGAAAGTATCCCTGATGAATCGCTCAGGATAATCAGTTATCATAGATACAAGACTCCCATAATTAAAAATATTACTCGAATGATAACAAACAATCAGTCACTAGAATATCATTATCCATGTGAGATTCAAAATCAACAAAGGCCAAAAGCTTATCTAAAATCTACCAGTCTACAAACGATCGAATCTGATGCAAATGAAGCAAAAACTCGGAACGATAGGACAGACAAAAAATCTAATACAAGAAATACTGAATATTCAGAATCTGGTTTTGAGTCTCAAGAGTTCTACTCCGCTTATAATGATAACAAATTACCATTTAGGAATTCTGGTGCCGATATAGAGTTATTAAACCACTCTTCCATAGTCCAGTCTTGCGATGCACAATACTTTCAAAATTCCAAAGTAGACATAATTCCTGAAGAAGTCGAGACCATTGATAAAGGTTTTGTTTCACCAAAAAAAACATTAATAAAAAATAATAGAAAAATGCTGACATTAAACAGAAATGAGAAGAAACCAAGAAATGATTCATTGGCTTTAGCTTCTTCAGAGAATAGGTCATTAAAGGTACAGAGATTAAATAACTTCCTCAATGATCAAATACTATCTACTGGTATTAATACAACTGCCCCATACAAGGAAAGACTCGGTACAAATTCTTCTGTAAGAAGGCAAAAGCCTAGAAGTTATAACTATTCTGCATTGAATAAAACAGAAAACCTACTCACTTTACAACCAAAGCCTGTAGTTCTTTCAGAACAAGAGATGTCTGATTTGGATTTATATCCTAAGCATAAGTTTTTAACAAATCATTTGAACGACGTGACAGACATGGCCATCAGTAAGATGAAATATGGGTTATCAGAAATATTTGACCCAGAAAATGGATCGAAATTGAGTTTAGAAGAGAAGGATGTAAAAAGCGACATTATCATAGCTGACAAGGTTTTGGTAATGGTTAAGATGTCGGAATCTTACCATGGTATTTTAAATAAGTTCACAGACGTCGAACAGATAGATACTAGGATCGTTGAACGTTGGAAAGAGTATCTGGTAATCGGGAGAGATTTTTCAAGGACTAGTAAATGTATTGACTTAGAATTTTACAAAGATCTTGGAATTTCAACAGATACAGTTGGGCCAGTAGCTTATAAATTTCATTCTGAGATTGATATCAATTTTTGTTTTAATGAAGAATCTATGGTGACGTTTTATAATGCATTAGATAAAACAATTTGCATACAGAGATCAGGAAGAGGCGCCAAAGAAGGATCAGGATATACAGGAAAAGGGGACCATAGATCTGCTACCAATATGATGTTTTATATCTTTAATTTTCAAACTAAATCTGCTGCATATAAATGGTATAACTGTCTTAAGGGATATTTTGGCTTTAATGAAATTTGCAAAAACCTAACAGTTAATATTCCTGATATATCATTATCTCTAACTTTAAATCTTCAAGAAGAGGATGTTAACCAGCTCGATATATACGAGAGAAATGAAAGTAACTACTTAAACCTCATAAAAACGAGTCATGGTTACAAAGTAATACAGACCCCAATAATCAGATATCTTAATCTTATAATTTTTACTGAGTTAAGAAAGATAGGGCTTCATTCCCAACTTGATGAATGGATAAAGAACAACATGATAATGGGTTGTAATTTAAAATACTATGATCGTCTTGAGTGGTCACCCGAATCAGAGTTCAGATTATTAACGTGTGTGAATATATTCAGAAATTTGTTCTCATTAGAATACAGACCTTATTCGCACCACCCTAGGTCTATTGACCTTGAGAATGGGAAGAAAGAAAATGAACCAGTCAATATCGAAGGCTACCTAATTAAATTTAGTGATAGATTTGGAAATGACATTTCAAGATTTGGTAGAATGTATATGAGACCTAGTTATTTTCTGACTTGTGATAATATATTATTTTCAGTACCTGCAAGCAAAGCTACTCCTCCATGTCCTTTGGAATACGTCACAACAAACACAATCAATAGTTTTGATAATGATACATTCACTAACTCTGAGAAGGACACGTTCAGTTCTGAAAATATTTTTGAACAGAATCCATACCCTTTAAATACCAATAACGTCGTAGATTGGGTAGAAGACTCTCAAAATAATAATGATTTTATTAAAAATGATAGTTATGCAAAAATGTGTTTTAAGAGGCGTGTGTCACAAATATTTAATTCGGACTCAATTTTAAATTTAACAGACATAAAGAACATTAGCCGAGGTGACCCAGAAGAGGCAATATATTCAAAGAAATGCCTGAAAGCACTATCTTTTGGAAGTTTTTGGTTTTGGAACAAAAAAAGAACAATCAATGATATCGCAAACTCTATCATTTTTATTTATACGTCAAATGGATTGGCAATGAAGCTGTTGGCACCAAATGAGGTAGTTGCAATGGAATGGGTTACGAAACTAAAAAAAAGTGTATCATATTGGACCAAACGACAGCGACACATCCTCTCTAGAATTATCAGATTAAAACATACGAATATAAGTAACCTTAAAATATCTGAAATAGAGGAATCAAATATCAATTCCAATACACCCAAATGGATAGTTGATCATGGGATTTCTGATCCATCTTTGTATAATATTGATGCATTTTCATTATCACGACCAATATTATCAAAGGGGTTCTTATATCAAAAGATGAAAAAACATTCAAACTTCTGTAAATACTATGCAATCCTAATACCAGGCTTCATTCTATTGTACAATTGTTTTACTAGATCAAAGACTGGGTTTCCAAGAAAGACAGTTGACTACGGCCATTACGTCACAATTCCCTTAAAAAACTGTTACATATATTCAGGTAACATAACTGAAAATGATTTAATAAAAATAAAAAACAAATATGATGGCGTAGATCTAGGGAAACATATTTTGCCAAGGGCATATGCTGATGGTTGGACCTCATTCGAAGATGAGCCTTTAAGATCTTTCACAATCTGGTTTGGTTCACTCAAATCAAAGGATGATAGGTATAATGCAAATGATGAGGTAATTAATAGTAATTTGTCCAAATCAATTTACGATGAAAACATAACAGATATAAAGAAAAAGAATGCTAAGATCAGTGATTCAGGTAAGAGTATTATATTCTTAGCTAGGTCACGTCAGGAAAAAGATTTATGGGTACTATCAATTCAATATGAATTAGAGCGCCTTAACTGTTAATTATAGACTAAAATTTACATTATAACATTTTTTTATAACATTTGTAGATATATATATATAAATATTGATTAATTATTCATACTTTGAAATAAAGGCAAAGAGAAAAAAAACAGATAAATAATTTAGAGAGGACATAAATATTTTTCAAATACAAAAGTAAATATAAGAATGTGTTAAATATAGGGAAACTAAATTTGTGAATTTATATATACACGTTGATTAGGTTCTATTGGCGAAATCATTTTTTTGGAAGTCCCAAGTATCTTCTGGGATTCTACCTCTTAAAGTTGGAGTTTCAGTACCTTTGACGTAAACATCTTCGAATAAGATAGACAACTTTGGCTCAGGAGGAGCGGCAGCGTCAGCCAAAGCAACTTGTTCATCAACATATTTTCTTGCAGATTTATCATATGCCTTGATTTCAGCTTCAGTAGCAATGCCCAATTCCAATAGATGAAGTTTCAAACCTGCAATTGGATCATTCTTAGATCTCATGTGTTGAATTTCATCTCTGGTTCTATAAGTAGTACCTGGATCAGACATCGAGTGACCACCATATCTGTAAGTTTCGTATTCCAAAACCAATGGTCCCTTACCAGAAATACACCATTCTTTGGCAAACTTAGAAGCTTGGTAGACAGCCAAGATATCCATACCGTTTACTTTCAAACCTGGAATATATTGACCACGCTTGTAATAATCTGTAATAGCAGATGATCTAGAGGCAGCAGTACCCATACCATATTTGTTGTTTTCACAAGCGAAGACTACAGGCAAATTCCATAATTTAGCCATGTTATATGATTCAAAGACTTGACCTTGGTTAGAAGCACCATCACCGTACAATGTAAACGAACAGGCATCTTCATTCTTATACTGATGAGCAAATGCTAAACCCGCACCTAAAGGAACCTGGGCACCAACGATACCGTTACCACCATAGAAACCTGGGGCAAACAAGTGCATAGAACCACCTTTACCAAAGGAAACACCAGATCTTTTACCCATCAATTCAGCTAAGATAGCCTTTACGGAAGCACCACGCATATAAGTAAAACCATGACATCTATAAGATGTAATGACAGAATCTTTGTGAGTAATGGCATTTTCAATACCGACAGCAATAGCTTCTTGTCCAACAGATAAATGACAGAAACCTCTAATTTTCTTTGCCTTGTACAAAGCATCACAAGCCATTTCCATTCTTCTAACAATGACCATATCCTTATACATTTGCAATAAAGTTTGCTTATTTGTATTAAAAGCTAAATCTGGTACATCTAGCATATAACCTTCAAAAGAAGAGTCATGCAATTTGATTTGGACATTATTTTCGTTAACATCTGTAGTTGTTGCTAAAGAACGAGTTATAACAGATGATAATCTGTTACAAGGAGTCCTTAAAGCAATAGGATTAATTCTTTTATTCAAGGAAGCCGCAATCATTGCTAATTGATTTATTAATAGACCTTGGGTTATCAATTGACACAATTGAGCCGTTACCTTTCTAAAACCATTAAATTCATCCAAAAATGAAATTATTCAGTATTTTAAACCATATAAAAGTTCGACTTCTTTCTATCTTTTGATTAATAAATTATAGATAACTTAACAATGAAAAGAGTAATGAATGATAACATTAATCAAAGAGGGATTAGGATTGCGAAAAATCTAAAATTCAATCAATCCAATCAGTAGTAGTAATCAGATTATCTTGCAGGAGGAAATATAGACCCATCATTTAAAAGGCTGGAGAACAGTTTGCATCATCATCACGTACTATCTTCCATCGGCAGCAAAAACATAAAACAGCATCATATAATGCAGAGATACCCATAAGAAAACCCTAGAGAAGTGCATAATTCTAATTTAGAAATAAGGCATTAAAACATTTTCAGTGCAAAGTTTGGGGGTGAGGCAGCTAATTTTACTTCCCAGCGTGCGGGTAATGTAATCAAGCCGTTCTGGTTGGCCCAAATAGAAGAGAATTACCGTTGAATTGTTTGATCGATAGTCATCTTCCGAACTTGAGTTTTGTCACTATGAGCAGTAGCAAAAAGTGGTCACATGACTTTTGTTGTCAATCCTTCCCTTTAAGGTGATTCCTGCAATACCATACATAACATAAATAAATAAAATGGTATATTACCAGACTCAACCTTGCCTATAAACCAATCATTGGATGTTGTGATAAGAAGATCTGAATATGGAAGATTGATATTGGAGCCAGTAGTATATGGGAGAGTGTGTAAGTGAGGTCAAGGAAAATGAAGAGAACAATTAACCGCCTAAAAATCGGTATTAGACCTTGTGATTCTTCATTTCTAACACTATCAATTCTTTTAACATTGTAAAGTAAACAGTATTAGTAATATACAATAGATATTGCTTGGAAAATAAATATATTAACAGACATCGAGCACATAATCCTTGTTATTTCCATGTTGAAATCTCTTGTAATTATGGGAAACGTTCTTTCCCGGAAAACCCTGTCCCTTTTATACTGGTACGGGAAAAAGTTTGATTAAATCTTGTCTCTTAGCCGCCGTCAAACTAAGAAATCCCAAATAATACGGTACAAAATAGCCGCCAGTGCAGTTTATATGTTGATGAAATATATATTTATGTATATGTATATTTGAGGGAAGTTATATAAAATATAATATTATATAATATTGGAATGATCAATGGTTTTTATTTATGTAACGTATTCATATTTTTGAACTTTTCAGACTAAAAACAGCCACTGAATTAGAGATTATATGAACTAGAAACGTATTAATTCAAATAGAGTACCACATAAAGTGTTAACAAAGGTTAATCGATCCTCACATCTCTTCCCCAAAGCATGTAAAAACTGACACTATACTTACAATTGAAATTGATATCTAGGTCCATAGTTGTTCAAATTCATCTTCTTGATCCCTGTAACAGATATCACTCGAAAGGATCAGTTATATCAGACATGGTGGTTGGCAAACCCAAGTCATCTTGCATGGCATATGATTGTTGCTGATAGGTGTCAAATTTATATTCATCAGCTAGTGGGGTTATATGTAAGATTATATAAATCATACCAGTTAAAAAGATTGTTAAAGCTATTGAATAGTTTAGAATTGAATAATTCATTGATATCGAGAAACTCAAAAAAACGTAGAGCACACCTCTTGATAACAAACTGTAATAAAAAGAGGCATATTTGAATAGCCAGTCGACCTTTTTAAATTCTAATAGAATAATTGGAATTGATAATAGAATGGAATAGATTGATATAACATAGTTCTTAGAATCCTTCAATTCTGATACAGATGCATATAATGCAAGAGTACCAATGATTACATTGATGAATTTAAAGATCATTTGAAGCAATTGTAGCAAGATTTGGTTGTGTATATGTTAGCAATTGCTATATTTTATATATAAATGTGTTTTTTAAACTGTTATCGAATGAGTTAATACAGTTGATCTTTTTATAATTTATGTTAAATACTAATCGATTTTAAAAAGCATAAACTTATATATTAGAGTAGTATATGCACCATAGGAAATTATAAACATATATGAAAAGTGTGAACTTTTATATATGACGATAGTGAATCACCATCCACTTATAAAAAAACATTATATAAATATATATATATAATATAATATTAGATACAAAGGGGTAAAGTAAAGGGGAAAAATATATTAGGCAGTGGTAGTAGTAGTAGTAGTAGTAATGGTAATGGTAATGGTAATGGTAGTGGTTAAAAAAGGGAAAGAAGAAAGTAGGTGGAATTTTAAGAGTAATAGTGGAATGAGAAGTAGAAAAGTAAGTAATAGTATTTCAAAAGATTAATTCATTTTGGAAACTAATTACTTTGATTCATCGTTTTCTTCATTTGATTGTTCGTTAGCATTAGATTCAGACATATCAGAAGTCCATAAAGTTAAGTTATCTCTTAGTAATTGCATGATCAAAGTTGAATCTTTGTAAGACTCTTCAGATAGTGTGTCTAATTCAGCGATGGCATCATCGAATGCTTGTTTTGCTAAATGGCAAGCTTTATCTGGAGAATTTTGAATTTCATAGTAGAAGACAGAGAAATTCAAAGCTAATCCCAAACGAATTGGATGAGTTGGTGGTAATTCTGTAGTTGCGATTTCAGAAGCCTTTTTGTAAGCTTCTAGAGAATTTGTGGTGGCTTCATCTCTTGCATCAGCAGTTGAGAATTCTGCTAGATATCTGTGATAATCACCTTTCATTTTATAGTAAAAAACTTTTGATTCACCACTAGTAGCAGAAGGGATCAAATGAGAATCTAAGACGGTTAAGATATCATGAGAGATTGTAGTTAATTCTGATTCAATTTTTGAACGGTAATCTTTAATCAATTCTACTTGATGATTAGTATTTTCTTTTGATTCTTCTTTTTGTTCAATTGAAGAAACAATTCTCCAAGAAGCACGTCTTGCACCGATAACGTTTTTGTATGCAACAGATAACAAATTTCTTTCTTCAACTGATAATTCTTGACCAGAAGAAGCAACAGTCTTCATATTTTCCACCATTTCTTCATAACGTTCAGCTTG